AGAGTGTGTGTGTATGTCTGTGTGTGTCTGTGTTTGAAAGAGGGTGTGTGTGTGTGTGTGTGTGTGTGTGTGTGTGTGTGTGTGCGTGCAAGCGTGTGTACATGCGTGTGTGTGTGTGTTCTGGACTCACCGCAGCAGTGAGGCGGCTGCGGGAGTTCACAGCGTGTTTGAGGGCCAGTTTGATAATTGAAGGCAGTCTAAGAACAACAGCCTCGATGTCCTGCTCTCCCCTCATTCCGCCGGCCAGCTTCCCCAGCCCGTCTACATAGCTCTTCCAGTGGGGCTGCACCTCGGCCGCCCCCCCCAGGCAGCCCTGCATAACGGCCTGACAGAAGCCCCTGCAGGCTGGCGGCCCCAGCAGGCCCTGGCAGTGCGGGCAGTACCACAGCCTCAGCAGGGCCCGGCTGCAGTCCCTGCCGGGGCGCAGGTGGTCCGTGGTGTTCACAACCTCGATGCCAAGGTTCAGCGCCTGCAGGAAGACCCGAGTGGCCAGGAGGGAGCGGGACAGACGGGTCATCATCAGTTTGGGATAGGGGCCAAATGCTGCGGTCTCCTTCCAGGCCCCTCTCACACACTCCTCAGATGCAGAGGAAACGGTGCCGCCAAGCAGGCGCCGGTAAGCCAGGGGGAAGAGGCGCCCGTAGAGCACCGCCACCATGTGGTCCACTGAGGAGTCTGAGCCCAGGATGTACAGTGACATGTCCAGGAAGAGCTGCCCCACGAAGCTCTGGGCTCCACCCCCGAGGCCCGGGAACTCCGACTTCAGCATGGCCAGGGTGAAGTTACGGCCGTGTCGCAGCACCAGGTCGAAGGCCTCTGCAAGAAAGTCAGAGAGAGTGCAAAGAGTCAGACGGGGTGAAAGTAAGGACACCCTTTCAATATCTGTTGCATTCAGGAGGTGATGCTCTGCCTCGGTAATAACAACAACTTGGCAGAGCTGTCAAAAAGTAGGCAGCAATTTAGCTGAAAAGCATGAAGATAAAAAATAAAACTCAACAAGATGCAATTCCCCCCAAAGATCTATTCCATCCCTAACCATCACAATAGGAGAAACATCCCAGCCTCTCTTTCCCTTCTCCCAGTTTTTCTCAATCTGGTGTTTTCTCTAATTGGACTGCTCACACATGCAAACACACACACAGAACAGCATAATACACGGTTGCTTGGAAAATAAAGAGAGCAGATGAAAAACAAGATCTGGGGATTGACCTTTGAGTAAAACTAAAAAGAAGCTGGAACAGAGCTCACTATAAATGAGTCCCTTTAAAGGAGAGTCTTAATCTCAATGTATTAGTCAAGCGGGAGAGGATGTCTGCAGGGAGGAAAGCATACAAAGCACGCAGGAGGGAGATGTGCCTGGCCGATGTGAGGAGGGAAAATAATCAGCGGCGTTTCAAGGCACAAAGTGAAGTCTTATCAACAAGGTGGCACAAGAAGCAGGAGCTCTATCAACGACCCGGTAGCCAAATGAGTGAGGACCCAACAACACAGGAGGATTTAAAGCTCCATTACTGAATTTAGCAGGGGAGCTGAGAGTCAGTGAAATGCAGCTTTGGACAGGAGAAGGCGAAATCCCATTTATACCGCAGCTAGTCCCCTTCATCACTTTGTTGAGAGTGATAGCGACCACTGCTTTGAGAGGGCGGGGGCGCTGGTATAGGCGTTAGGGGAAGTTATTGCTTTTTGTGCTACAAAAGCCATTTCATCTTTGTTATTTCCTTTTTGCCTGCTTGGGTAGTTTAATTTCTTTCTCTTCATGCTTCTCGGAGGTCAAATGAAGCTTGTCAGCCTACACAGAGCTCCGGGTCCTCGGACAGCATGGTGTGATACCTCTGTCTCTTTTGTGTGGAACAGATAATGTGTTTTTCTAATGTGCAATTTCAGGCACATGGGGAGGTCCGTATGAGAATATGACGATATCTGAGCAAAGGAATAGATATCATCATTCCCCCGCTCACTAACTGCTGCTGGGGAGCATTTATTTATCACTTTTGAATGAAGGATTGAAAGAATCCGAACAGAGGCAACACTGGGGCTATGAAGAAACATCCATATGGGTCGAAATGTTTCAATCTAACTGGAAATTGCTCTTGTTTTGAAGCTAGTTGCCCTCATTAACTTACGGCAACAAACTATAAAGGTAGAGAGGAAATTATTAGAAAGAAGTAGATTTCATGCAAATCTTTCAAATAATTTAAAACTTGCACTGTACACATTGCACATAAATGGTAGGTGTGGGTCCATTGCTATAGCAACAGCAAACGTCAGTGCAGCAGTAAAAATGCTGTTTGGCGGTAAAGCACAGTCGTTACGAACACTCAAGGAAATACACGTCGGAAATCGTTTATATATACATCTTAGGTTGTTTGATTTACAAAATGACTTTCACTTTAGTTCATATGAACTTATCCTGGTTTAATTGTAGTGTTCATTGCAACTTCTGTGATGATAAGTAAAAAGGCAACATCAAAGTAAACTACTAGCAGCCTATTCAGAACCATGTATATATGGTGGTCGACAGGTACAAAACCTCTAATTGTGAATAAACAAAGGACTTTCACAGATGAAGCCGATGTTCGCGTCTTTTGGGAAATCAAAAGTCAAGGTTGATTCATTTGAACTTACGTATACGTGAATTATGGTTATTAAGCCACATGCTGTAAATAACTTCTTTACATGTATTGTTAATTATGTAACATACTAATATATTTTGAGTGGGAAATAAGTCATGGTCTGGGGTAACGTTTTTTATTTAAACCCAGACCATGACTTATTTCCCAAACTGGTTTTGTGGTAAACAGGATCAGGCTGCAGTTGTACATTTGAATCAAAGCATGAATATGAAAACGTATTTGTGCTCAGCAAAACAGAAGCTGAGTTAATAAAGGTTATAAAGAAAACATTTAAAAGATGTTTGGATGAATGTGAGAGGATGCTCCGGAGCAGCGCACATCTGTTTAGATTTTCAGGCAACGGCCGTCCTGCTGCGACAGAGAAGCACTTCCCTCTGTGATCAATGAGCCGACAGATGTGCAGATTGCTAGGCGAGACAGGGAGACAGACTGGGAGGAGGTAAGACAAACCCACACACACACAAACAGAAATACAAAGTCTTCTCCTCAAAATTTTGTTTACTGGTGGAGAGTCGGTGAGAAATACACATCCTTCTCAAAGATGTTTGTTCCTCCTTTTCTCTGATTCTTTGAAAGCCTCTTTCATCAAACCCTGTGATTCAGCTACCTGTAGTATCTCTTACACCACAAAGAGGAGAGCCACTTTGTAATGGTAAAGAGAAAGACTAGAGGGCTCTTCATAAAAGCAATTCAATGGCTCTGAGTAGCCCGGGTCATGTTAGGAACCATTGCGAGCCCATTTCCTGCACATACTGCTCGCCCTCTTTCATCAGTGAGAGCCTGAGAGGGATCAGGTATCCTCTAATGGAGGGGAGAGAGGCCAGTGACTTCCGGGATACCACTGTAGGAGGTCAAGGGCACACATTACCAGAGCGGGAGCACGCAGGAACATATTGGGTCATGCTTAAAATTAGCAGTAGCATTTATTTTGTCAGTGTCACAAATGGAGACAGAAGGCTGGCAGCTGGAAATCGCTTTCTCCTCAGAGACTGAAGGCTTTTTACCAGACACATCAGCAGGAGAGGGAAATGTCTCTTAGCTCAGTCCACTTATTTCATCAGCCATATAATGTTTACTCCAAGGACATTGGGCCTCTCAGCTTCCTTGTGCATTAAAATATGGATATCCACTAAATTATCTCCAATAGGCAACAGGCACATTGCATTAGCATTGATACCGTCGAACTGCAGCGTTACATTGTGAGCGGAATATCATGATCAAATCAAACTTTATTTATATAGCACTTTTCATACACTTAAGGTAACAAAGTGCTCTACAAACCATAAAAATTAAAATAAGAATACACAAATTAATAATAAAAAAAGAAATAATAAAAAAGAAATAATAATAATACATTTCATAAAAACACAAATAAAAAAGGAGGGTCTTGAGTTGGCACTTAAACGTATTATCATTTTCTGCCGCCCTCTACATATCATGTTATTAATCAAAGCCCTCAATTAAAGTATGATCAAGTCCAGATAGTCTAAAAGAAATCTAATAAATCTGTGTCAAAGTGGGGTCACTTATTTCTGACACCTAAAAGCTCTAAGAGTCTCCGCTCTGACATGTAACAGGCTTTCACATAATCTATGAATGGACCTGTCAAATGGCTGGGCATATTTGATGTCCAGGAGGCCGTCAGTCTGGGTGATATATAAGTCAACGCTGCAGCTCATAACAGGCCCGACCGACTGACTGACCGACGCTGAGTTGGCAGACAAGTGGCTCATCAATCAGCGACCCAAACACCGATTATCCCCAGAAGAGGAAAACATCAATAAATTAGCCAGCCAATGAGAGTAATCCATTTGGCTGATGGCGTGTCACCTCTAGCCGCCACGGAGATGGATGGAGAAACTGCAGCCAGCTGGTCCCAGTGACAAAACAGAACCTGTCCGGGACGCAGAGCGAGGACTGGCAGGACACAGACACATGCCAGCACTCTGTCAGGTACAAACCATGTATCTTCAAAGTGCCAGTTTTGATGAGACACAAGCGATTGTTCTTAAACCAGTCAATTGTGAATGCACTTCCTTTTTTGACTTCATTAGCCTATAAAAAGGGACTTGTGAAGATTTTTGATTTATAGAAAATACAGGCACTGTAAATAATTTGTTATTTATAATTTTTAATGACTGTTTTTTTATATTGATATACTTGCTATGACGGTGGTCATTTGACCATCCTGGTTTTTGTTGTCCAATGTATTATATAGGCTGGGCACAATATGGTGCAGTACTGTTCAAAAGAACAGATCAATCTTAATCCATCATATCAAAATGGTTGGGGGAAAACTAGCTACATAATTAGGTAAATAAATGATAAATAAATGTAATTGAAATCAGTTACAATTACTGAGAAATAATATGTTATTAAAAATAATATATTAATTTAGGTAAAAGCGTATATGTAGAATTTAACATTTATTCTGTTGGCCTGGTTCTCCTAATTAATAATAACCAGACAGTTTTGAGATTTAACTTAAAAAACGTGGTCCAATTAAAAAAACGATGCAAATATAAAAATAAAAATGTGCCAAAACTCATGCAAATTAAAAACACGAGTAGTATTTACAAAACGTTCACCAACTTGACGAAACAAGCGCAGCGTTTACTAAAAGTGATGCACAATCAAAATGCAGCAAATGAAAAACTGCAATAAGCTCAAAACACAATGGAAACGGGAACACTGGAAGGTGATGCAAACAGCTGGGACCTGGCCGCATTTTTTAGCGTTGTGTTTCGAGTTTCTTGCTCGTTTTCTATTTGCAACTGTTGTTTATTGCAGCGTTTTTAGTAAACCCTGCATTTGTGCTTTTATATTTGCATCGTTTTTGCAAGTGCCTGTTTTGGGCCATTGCAGTGCGTTTGCACCAGTCGGCGACCGTACATTGCCAAGTTTACAACATTTGCTTTTAAAGGAAACAAATGAGCTACATCTATTCCATTAAAGTGGACCTATCATGCTATATTTGAAAAATATATTGTAGGGCCATACCTATACAAAACATGTATGAAAAGTAATTTTTTTCAAAATACCAAACAGATCACCCCTTGTAGTCGTCCCTCATACTGCTCAAACCCCTATTTTGAAGCCCTGTTAGAGAAATGCGGGTCTTGGGTCCTTAGCTTGAAAAAATAAAAGAAGAGGAGGCGGAGCTAATAGCCGCGTTCACACCAA